CCAACTTGGGCCAGTGAAGCAACGTCCTCCACAACTAGACTGAAGAACAAAACGACAGCAACTTGTCTGTTCCCCTTTCCCCAATTCCCCAGCGCTGTTCCCCTTCCCCCAATTCCCCAATAAAAAAAAAATCTTTAAAAAAAAAATGCCTTCCAAGATATGAAAGAACTTACACATGAGGGCACCCAACCACTGTCACTGATGTTTCTTTTGAAAACTAGGAAAACTAAACATTGTCACATGTAGAACACATGTTCACAGAGGAAAAGGCTGAAGCTGTAAACTAGAAAGTGGTGACCTTGATATTAGTCCTAGACCAGAGTTTAGATTGGAGACTTAGGGCTGGCCCATGCTTCCTTAGCATAGGAGGTGGTGATCAGTTAAAAATAACAGATTCACAATGAAAAATCTTGTCAGATTGCTCCATCCTACTCTCTGTGCCAGTAATGCTAGACTGATTAGATGCATGCCTTAGAAATTTTACACATGAATTTTAGAAAAGAACTTAGCAAGGTCTTCATGATAGATGAAAGGAAAAAAAAATTGAGCTAAGTCACAATCCCATGAATTTGTAACTTGACCAGAGTGGTGATCAATATCAATATGATGGGGGCCATGGTGTGGACTCTGAAGCTCTGTCCTTAGCCTGGTTTTATTGTTTGAAGCAATGACTTGAATGAGAATAGTGACGGCACCTGATGAAACTCATGGGTGACATGAAGCTTTAAGGGAATGGCTAATATATTTGAGGACAAGACCAAGATTCAAAAAAACAAATCTCAGCAGGCTAAAAAGATGAAAAGGTCTAACCTGATTTATATTTAATGGCTATACTCTTTGATGTTTGGTCCTCTGCATCCCCCTTCCAAGAAAGATTAGCAACCAAACCGTCATGCCAGTACTCATGCCAGTACAGAAGGTAGAAGAGCATCAAGTTCAAGAGCACCTGCTTTGGAGTTAGACCTCTTTAGGCAAGTCTCTACGCATGTGAGCATCAGCCTGTCCACAATATGGGCTAATGGTACGTCATTGGGTTAATGTGAGTATTAAATAAGATGCAAAGCATTTCACACATTGCCTTGCCCATAGTCAGTACTCAACAGATAATAACTATATATAGCTGTATACACACAGTGGCTTAGCAGGAGAATGTGTGAAAAAGACTTGTGGTTTTAATTGACTCCAAGCTCCACATGAGACAGTGATCTGATGTGGCCTCCAAAAATAACTGATTCAACTTTGGCTGTCTTTGAAGAGCCATGGTAGGCTGAGTACGTGAAGCAACAATTCTTGCCACAGTTCACATGGACAGACCAGAGTGTGAGCTCCACATTCCGCCCCCAATATCTTACCATTAGAAAAGGCCCTTGTTAACGGAAACCCATCCAGCTAGGAGAGCCTAAAACAACCAGGGCACTTAAAATCATGGCCTGCGAAGAACTGGACTCTTTTAGCTTTGAGAAAAGAATTCTTACGGACATTATGACAGCTGTTTCAAATATTTTTAGGACAGTCACATGGGAGAGGAATTAGTTTTGTTCAATGTAGAGCCAAATTGGTGTACAAAAATCTTTCCACATGGGAAATGCCAAGGGTTTGGAAGATGCACTACTTGATTGAAAATATAAACAATAATAATGAAATAAGAGGTTTTATTCTACTTTAAAGAAAGTCTAGTTCTTTCTTTCTAGAGCCATTTTTTTTTATCATTAAGCGTGGGGGACCTAGCTCTCTGAAAAAGCCC